TACTAAGATGTGGACTTCTTGCTATATTTTGTAATATTTGCCTTTATCTGCACTGTGAATGGCAGAAATGAGAAATTGCACGTTCTGTTGTTTTCCTGTGGTACTTTGAACTCTTTGCATTGCTCTTGTTCTGAAATAAAGCAGAACTTGGCAGGCTGGTCCAGCCCCACAGAAGGGTCAGTGAGTTTGATTAGAACATTCTCTTGTCTCTGCACCACACAACAGCTCAGCAAGGCCTGGGATCCTGTCCCAGTCAGTGTTTGATGTCTCTGTAAGAGCATCTGTCTTATTTTACTGTGAAGGCTCATATATCCTTCACAGCTTAAATTTTTAGCCCTTTGAGATTTTAAACATTCTGGAGCCAGCAGAAAACTGATATAACACTGAGCTGTACATTATTTTAAAATGCACTCAAAAATTACGTGCTCTAGGTTAAAACCATAGACTTCTCCCCTCAACACAAACTGAACTTAGGGGTTGTCTCAAGTACCATTTAATTTGATCCCTTGCATTTAAACCAGCCACAGCCTCTTTCAGAAGAACTAGGATAGATGAAGTTCTGAGGTTACAAACGTGGAACCAGCTGTTAAAATCGTGTTCCTCCTGGTCACAGGATTGGTATCCCCTGAGGTGCCACCTGTGGGACTGGGCCAGGAGGGGCTGTCCCTCTCCAGCCATTGTCAGTCTGCAGGGATTTGGTGCTGATGCAGGCCTGGCATCACCAGGGAAGGTGGAAAGAGGGAAAAGAAGTAGTTTTAAAGGCAAAGGGATACAATTTGGGTTTGTTGGTCAGGCTATGCAAGTGATAGAATAAACTGTAACATTTTAATGTTACAAAAGACAGGTGTGATTGGAAGCAACTTTCTAAGGTTTTAGAAAAACTGTTGCAGGTGGCAAATGCTGCAAAGGTTAAAAATAAGAGCGAAGCAGGGTCCTTTTGTTTCCTAAAGGTGTCTACCTTTGGAAAAACTGCCTGCTGCTATTTTACTCCATCAGGTATCTCACATTAAAAGTACTTTCAAGCAGCACTAACAAGTAATTTCTTGATCAAGAAGAGCAGTGCAACTTCTGTGTCCTGTGTATTTTGGTGTTGGGATTGATTGATTCTAACTAGGTAAAGCTCTAATTAAAGCTTATCCTGAAATGAGTAATTTATTTAAAGTCACTTTTCTCTGCAGAGAATAACTGCAGGACAAGAGTTCTTTCTTTTTTCACTATGAGACTTTCATAGAGAGTAAGTTTATCACAAATAGAACACACTGCCCTGCTTAAACCCAGTCAACTTATTTACCTTGTTTTTTCAAGTGCCACCACATGCACAAGCAGGACTTAATTAGCAGGATTGAATCCCAAGCTGTAGAGTTGTGCTGTTGCTCCTTGCCCAGTTCAGTGGGTGATGCTGCCAGCCCCCCCCCAGCAGCCAAATGAGCTGTCTGGCAGCAGCCCAAGAGGCTGAGGCACAGAAGGGAGCCGCTGTGGGGCCCTCCATGCTGGGGAGCAGCTCTGGCAGAGGGCTGTGCCTGTTCTGCTGACCCAGGCTTGAGGATTGAGTAGTCCCTGGTGGTTTGTGCCTCGCTTGTGTTGTTTAAAGTAATTTTTGCTTTTTGTTTTGTGATACAGATATGCAAGAACTGCACGGGCTGCTTCGACCGGCACATCCAGTGTGTCTCCCTCAACTGCCCCGTGCTTTTCAAGCTCTCCAGAGTGAGCAGAGAACTGTCAAAGGCACCCTATCTCCGCCAGCTGCTTGACCAGTTTTAAATGATCTGTGTTACAGGATTCCAGGTGCTATTTTGTTTTTCCTTCAGTGTTTACCACACTAAGACTATTGTGCATGGTGCTTTTTCAATTCTCACCTAGTCCAGGATTTCCATTTTAACTGTTGGGTTTATTGTCTGAAGAATAATGAACGCTTACCATAACTAAATTGAAAAAAAAAAAAAACCCAACCCATTTGTTGATCTATGAATAGCTCACTTTTTAAGATGTAAAAATTTCTTCTTCCTTTCATGTTTCTAACATACTGTTTTATAATGCTGATGTTGAAATAGCTCTGTGTAACATCTTGTAAATCCATTTCAAAGTAGAAGTCAAGTTTACTTCCTGGAGGAAGGAGCACTGAAAACCTCTTGAAATGATAAAACCATTCGTGTGTGTTCTTGAACTGTCAGTATCAAGACGTGTTACTTATATATTCTCCATTCACTTTATAATTTTGTCTGCGAAATATTTTGTAAATACACTTTTTTACTTTTCAAACAACTGAGTAAAATAATGTGCAATGACTTTTATACAGATAATTTTAAAGTTGGTTGGTAAATCTCCTCCTAAGTTTTGCTTGATTCCAAGTAGATTGTTATTTTGATCAGACTGTGCAAGCAGTAGTACCATGTGTAGCATTTTGAAACATTATTTTCTAAAAATTGCTGTCTTGCTTTAGCTATAAATGGGGCATTGTGAGGAACTGTGCAAAGACATTTTTGTTACAAACCTGTGGGACTGTTGCAATACTTTAAATATAAAATTTTATTCCATTTTTGCTTGTTTTGTATAGACATTTCTATTGCTTCTAAATATGCTTAAAATATTTTCTTTCCTTACGTACTGTACAGTTAATCTTATTTGCCACCATCTTGACAAAATGTGTATTTAGAATATTTGTATAACTGTATAAAATGGAAAAGGAATTATGTGGTCAGTGCATTGTTTTCTAAACTGGAAATCATTTTGTTTTAGAAGTTAATAATGGAAACCATATTAAAGTTGAATAAAATGATATGGTAAAAAATTGTACAGGTTTTTTTAATATTTACCCTCAATTTGTTTCCTTCTCTGGCACACACAATAATGTAAAAACAAGACTGCTCAAATCAAAGTTAAGAATCCATCTTAAACTCTGGGATCTAAAACATCAGTAGGAGTTCTTAGAGGCCTTCCCCAAACCAGAAGAGAAACATTTCCAGTTTTCCATTAGTCAGACAAAGACCGAGTTTTAAATTTAAAAGTCTAGACAAGGTTTGAAAAATAGAAGAAAACTTTATTTACATCAAGGAACCTGAGTGCCTTCTCCAGATAAGAATTTATTACAGTCAAGACACCAGTCAGTCTATTAAATGTCACATTACACAGTACAATGTAAAACCCACACCAAGCAGAATAAAACATATTACATATACAATAGAAAATCTACAGATTGCAATGCACTTGTATGCAAAGTAACTCTAAAAAAACAAAACATCAAGGCAGAAAACTTTGCCTGGTTGTGCATTCAGGCATTGGTCAAGTACAGAATAAAAGTGCAAATGCCAGGAGTGAGTGCTTGTAGTACACTCCAGCACTTGGCAGTGCCTCAGGATAAATAAACTTAGCTGCAAGAGGTTACCTTTCACACTGGAGCAGAGCACTCATCTTCAAACTGTTCCTGGATTCGTGGACAAAAATAGGATTCTTATCAAATTCAGGTATCTAATTCATGGATTAAAGCTCTTGTCCTCAACAGAGGGATGGCTTTTCAAGCATAAGCAGGGCAGTAGTAATGTAATACAGTTACTTCAAGTAATTTCAACCCCCAACATGTAAGTACTTGAGCTTTCTGGAGGACCTGTAACTTAAAATAGATCTGCATTGTAAAAAGATCCTCACTTCAGCTGTAGATACCAGGAAGCAATTTACTGTGAAAGGAAATTTAAACACGAGAAAACCAATATTCATTGTCTGAAAACAAGCCTTGAGGAACACCAAAATCCAAGAGCAGGGAGCTAAGCCTTGGCCATCGAGGGTGCCTAGAATTGGTATGAGCTGGACTCATCCTTGGAAATGTCCTAGATCTTGTTTTAAACTTAAATTGCTTCAAGCATTTTATTTTCAGTCAAGGGCAGCCCCTGCTGTTAAAAGCAGGCTGGTTAGGGGACAATGACAACACCTTCTGTCTGTCTATTCAGTTCAAGTTTAAGACCAGAACTAAGACACTGAAGGCTCCAAGTCCTCATTAAGGTGACTTTAAATTTAGGCAGGTCTCCATACATCAGTGGAAAGTGATTCCACATAGATAATTCTCCAGCTTCCACTGTCTTAGAGCCACTGCTTTTTGGATCCTTTACTTGTGGGAAAAGGCTGCTCTTACCTTGGCATTCCTGCCTGTTGCTCCATTCCTACTACACAGGCCTCTTGCTTTTTAAAGAGGAAATGGGGATGAAGTTACTCTCACAGGAGTTAATTCAGGCGGGAAAAAAAAAAATCTTTGTTTTGTGCAATATTTTTACATTTGCTGGGACAACGCTGGTCAGAAACACAAATAAGTGTCTGTATATGTGCAGTAGATAAGCTTCTAAAAGATTACAGCATATTTCCCAATGCAGCTTTGATTTCATTTTCTGGGGTTTTTTAGTACTTGATTATGCAAACGATATAAAATATCCATGTAAACTATACCTAGGAACAGTCTTACGTATAGGACATTCCAATCTGGAATTTCATCGAAACTTAGCATATAAACTGGGGGAGTTCAGAATTTTCCTGGTTGCTCAGCATCTTTCTTTAAGTAATTTTCTTCTGGCACCATGATCTCAGGCATGGGGAAACTTTTTTATAACCATGTCAACACAGGGGGATGGCAGGTCCAGCAGGGAGCTGCCATAGAACAGTTTCTGTATCTTTCATTCTGGTTCTGTCATTTTCACTGTATCTTTCAACAGTTTCTGTATCTTTCATTTTCACTGTATCTTTCAACAGTTTCTGTATCTTTCCTTGTGTGCAGGTGTCCTGCGCCTTCTCCCTGCCCCTGCACCAGTGAGATTTCTCCTCACCATCAGCTGACACCCCTACCTCTCACACACACAGAACAGCATGCAGGAGGGAAAATGGGAAGAGGAAAAGCAGTGAAATGCAGGCTCCAGGTGCCCTCATTCCATGCCTCTCTGCCTACCACACTGTTTGCTTCCATGTCACACCAGAGGAGCACTGAGTGCCACACAGTCCTGTCACCTGTGCCCAGGCCGGGGCTGGGGCTGGCATTGACCATCCCTGGAAGCAAACAGAACCCTCGTGCCTCAAGTGAAACCAGGCTGCATTCTAAAGTGCAGGTCCATGCATTGCACTGGAAAGAGATGCCACAGAAGGAATCCATCAAAACCACAGTGGCATTTAAGTGCCAGCAGCAGAAAGAGAGGGAGGCTGTGCAACATGGCAAGCTATTAACAAAAAACTTTCACTGCAAGTTGATTCTGGCTTCTTATGAACTTCTCAGAAGAAAAGAAAAAGCCATTCAAGCCTAGGTTGCATAGTTGAAGGACAAAAGAGGGAACAAAACCAGACCTGGAAATCCAGGAACATCTAACATTCTGTGCTGTTACACCTGGAGCCCTTTTGTTACTAAATGAAACCTCTTAGCAAGAAACATACTAACAAAAGTGCCAAGTTAAAAACCCCAAACAAAGCACATTCTTATCACACAGACTTAAAAAAAATACTTAACTGATTTGGAGCTCCAAGCTGACAAATGACAAGATTACTGTTCAGAGACAGATTTTGCATTTACTGCTACCTTTTTCCTCTTACTGAGAGAGCTCTCTGGCATGGCTGCACCTGCCCAGGGTTTCCTGCTTAGCAGCAATGAACCTTCACGTACAAACCGCTGCTTCTCCACTAGGGAGAATCCATCTCCATGTCACCCCCCAAAGAAAAAACCTGAATGTCACCAAGCCAGATGGCCAGGGGCAAGTAGTCATTCTGGAAAGGATTGTCTCATTGATAATTCCCTCTCCTCAAATCTCCATTGTAACACATTACTCTGGTATGTCTTGGGACAGGAAACCAGAGAAGTTGTGATAACCTTTAACAACTGGCTTTAAAATACCATATATTAAGCAATCTCTTTTACCTGAAGGGAGTCAGCAAGAAAGGTGGAGTGGGACTTTTTTCAAGAGCATGTAGGATAGAACAAGGGGGGGATGGCTTCAAACTGAAAGTAGGTTTAGATCAGATATCAGGGAAAAAAATCTTCCCTGTGAGGGTGGTGAGGCACTGAAACAGGTTGCCCTGAGAAATTGTGGATGCTCCAGCCCTGGAAGTTTTCAAGGCCAGTCTGGATAGAGTTCTGAGCAACCTGTTCCAGTGGAAGGTGTCCCTGCCATGGCAGCAGGCTGGAACTGGATGATCTTTAAACGTCCCTTCCAACTCAAACCATTCAAAGATTACATTATAATTTTATCATCTTCTGTGTACATTTTTTTATTTCAGTGATAGTGCCATAATTAAAATCAGAAATACTTTTGATTATTTAGATTTGTTGCCACGGTTTAGTAGGTTGGAGTTATGCATTTGAGCAGATAAACAGTGGCCCATTTTGTGCCCTTTCTCATAAACTGCTTTTAAGTGACCCAAAGGCATGGTTTCACTCCTAAGAAATGTACTTTTGGGCATTTCCTAATCTCCACGTGCAAATATGCCACCATTTCCCAGGGGTTTTTTTTGTCTTTGTCTCAGAACCAAAAATTCCTGTAGTTTGCCACAAGTTATTCAATTTACAGCTCCTGGGCATCACCAGAAATTTTAACTGATTTGATCACACACAACTGTCAGACACAGTAGGAACATTCCTCCTTCACAAGGTAAGAAAGTTCAGCATTACTGGTAACAGATGTCTCTCCTCTCTCATGAAACCATTTTGTGACAAAGCATTTCAGACCTGCACCTTTCACCCACCTCAAAAATCTGAGTAGTCTGAGCAGTCCCCTTCTTTCCCAGTTATTACAGCATCTCTTCTTTGGATGCGTGCCTCATATTTAGAAAGCATCTTTTACATTTTAACAGTTTTGGCATAGCCAAACATTTATCATGTTGCCCCTTTCACATCACTGAAGACCTTCCCACTCCAAGACATATCCCCACAGGCTGAAAGAGGAGGAAGGACTGGGGAAATGAACATGCTGAGCTCTGCACCACTATGAAAGGGTTCCCGAACCACTTGACAACAGCTACAATTCAATTGCATTTCCATTAAAAAAAAAAAGAAGTCTGTTGTGACTCTATTCACTCTTGTCCCAGTTAATACTCCCATTTTGTCTCCCAGGGGAACCATTGGCAACCACTGGAGGATCACCCAAAGCATTGTCCAGATGGGGCTGGACAGCTGGAGAGTCCCCTGGTATCCTGTGGGACGTGTCCCTCAGAGAGTTTTTGAGCTCGTCATTCATTTCTACCACCTCAAAGTCTGCATCATTCCACTCTCTCACGTGCTGCTCCTCCTCCTCCTCATCCTCAGTGTGCCTGGAGTTCGACAGCAGCGTTTTCCGGGTCTCCCTGTCGCTCACTTCCCGCGAGTCGCGCTGCTGGGGCCAGTTGGCCAGTTTGTACATGGCAGGGAAGAGCAGCACCGTCACCATGGAGGTGACGAAGGCCGTGTACATGACGACGGGGACGTGGTGGTACCTGCCTTGCAGGTAGCCCACCGCCACGGGGATGCACATCTCGCCCAGCGCCGCGCCCACCACAAAGAGCGAGGCCGTCTTCCCTTCCACCACCGTGTACTGCTCGATCCAGGCGATGCCGCTGGGGAAGATGGTGGCCATGGACGCTCCGTACACGGCGCTGCCCGCCCACAGCGCGGCCCGCACGTGGGAGAAGAAGGCCAGGGCCGTGGAGGAGGCGGCCGAGCACACGAGGCTCAGGACGATCATGGTGGCAGGGGACAGGAACGCGGCGCCGAATATCGCTGCGCCTCGGCACACGGCGAACGCGCCCCAGAAGACGGAATTGAGGGCGGCTGCCTCGCTCTCCTTCATCTCGGCAAAGACCATTGCGTGAGTGTACACATAGGAGCCATAAGTGACCTCAGCTCCCACGTAGAACAAGAAGAACACGAACAGGAGACCAACGAGAGGCCAGTGGTATTTGGCAAGCTTGTCCTTGTGCGCAGAAGCCTTTGATTTGTCTTTAGCTGAGCTGCTCTTTGAAAACAAAGCAAAAAAGAAGATGGAAACTAAGAGAATATAGGAACCTATGAAAACATAGGACCACAAAAAGCTCTCATTGCGATGGTCATTCGGTGCTGGTGTAGCTGATGCAGCTGATGCTGTTGGCACAGACTTGAGGACAGACTGGTTTGTCTTTTCAGCCCCTGATAGTTCCTCAGATTTGGAACTCCCCAAGTCCATTTGAGCCACCAGAGGAGCCAGAAATGCACCAGCAGCAAAACTGAAGTGCAAAGCCTGCAAGTGTGGCCCAGCCTCTGATCCCCAGGTGTACAGTGCCAGTACATTGCCACCTGCAGATCAGAGAGAAAAACATTCCTTTCAGTCTGAGACTAGATATTGTTTAAAAGAAAATAAAAAACCAACAAAACAAAACAAACATTGCTAATTCAATGTACAATAATTCCAGGTTTAGCAAACACAATGTGTAAAACAGCAGTTTACTGAAACTCTACCTTAAATCCATGTGATTACTTGAGCTTTAGGAGGATATTCAGAGCAGTCAAAACAAAGAGTCACACAGTGGCTTAATCCAGCAGCAATGGACAGACATAACTGTGCCAGGGGAGGTTTAGATGGGGTGTTGGGAAAAATTTTCTCATGGGAAAAGGTTGTTAAGCATTAGAACAGGCTGCCCAGGGAAGTAGTTAAGTCACCATCCCTGGAGGTATTTAAAAGACATGTGGATGTGGCATTAGGGACATGGTTTAGGGCTGGACTCAGCAGTGCTGGGTTAAGGGTTGGACCTGATGACCTTAAGGGTATTTTCCCACTTAGGCATCCTATGATTCTATGGTTTAATTACCCTCCTTGACAATTTGCAGCATTTTTCAGCCTTTTTTAAAAGGGAAATTTAACTGCTTCTCATTTCTCTAAGTATCAAAAGCAACAATGCCCAATGCTAAGAATCAGAGGAACAAAAACAACATTTAAAATTCATTAAACAACATCCCAGGAAAAATAACAATTCACTTGCTACTGATGGGCTGGGCCCACCACCCCACTGTGTTCAAATGACTTTCCAGAAACAGAAGGGTTTGCATCGATACTGCTGTAAACACCAAACTACAACACCATCAGATCAACAATAATGGTAGGAAATGAGATCTCAGAGAGGTGTTTTGAAGTAGACCCTCAGAGGAATGCAGGAAAACAAAACAGTAATCAAATTCCTGTGCTGCAGTAGAGCAGCCCTTGTCACTCAGCACTCTTCCAAACCAATTCAGCTTTGCTTTACTGCCTTGCTGTGAGTTCCTTCTGCTGCTCCTGCTCAGCGTGGGGAGTCTCCCTGGCCCTGAGGTCTGATCCAAGCAATACACCCACTGAAGGTATTTTGACCATTGGCTGACTAGATTTTCCTATCCAAAGAATTTTTAAACCAAGTGCCATGTATAACAATCTTACCAGAGGCAGCAAATACAGCTCTGCACTCAGCTTATTTAACACAACCTGTGCTGTGCAAAACCATCTCTTCACCACTGGATCCTGCTCTTTTTACTTCTTAGCAGAGCTCCCTCAAACCCCACAGCATTAAGGCAGACACTTCACATGTGCAGCCATCACTCCTCTTTGTTGCCAACCAGCCAGGCCCTGGCTGGGATGCTTCCAGAGCTGTTTGGATAAGCTAACACGTGAGTCAGCTCTGTCTCAGCAATAACCCTGCCCTGAGAGTGATCAAGCAGCTGCTGTAGTGATTGCTGGTTAGTGAGCCTGCCCAGCTCCTGCAGGAGGGCAGCAGAGCCAGCACAGCTGCTGGGCCATGGCTGGAGAGGTGCCAGGAGGGGCTGCCTGCTCTTGCCTCACCATGTGCTGCAGCAATGAGGGCACTCTGCTGACGGACGCACTTTTGGGCATTTCCTAATCTCCACGTGCAAGTGTGCCAGCATTTCCCAGGCATTTCTGAGCGTGCCCAAAGCCTCTGCTGTGGCCTTGACTCCTGGTGCAAACTGCCTGCTAAAGCCTGAGCTGCCCTGTCCAAGCCTGCCCAGGGACTCCTTTGTGGGAGTTCATTTTTCACACCTCCAGCACCTTTCTGACCACACCTGCACTGGCTCTGCAACTTCACCAACACATCTCAGGACCATGGAATCATTTAGGCTGGAAAAGATCCTCGAGATCATCTTCCTTCAATAATAAGCTTCTGCTAAGACACTGGGTTTGAACAGCTGTCCAGCAAACTGCTGGGTTTGGGGGTTTTTGCCCAGACCATTTGCAGTATGCACATGCCACAGACTTGGAATATGGGGACAGAACACATTTGTATTCCCAGCCACCTAAGCATGGCTGGCCAAAGGTGGAAAACATCCCTTAATTCAGGGAGATGGGCACCATGGTGCTGTGACCTCCCAGCTGCAGGTGGGCAGCTCTGCCAACAGCAGCTGTAAGAATCTCAAACACCAAGGCTTTGCTCAGGACTAGCTTAGGCACAGCTAATGCTAATGAACCACGTCCTCACCAGCTTCCTGCAAATGAGCAATTTAAAGAAAACATTGCTTAAAGAGCACAGGGCACTTTCTTTATGCCTGTAATGGCCCACTGAAATGCAAATTGATCTTCTGCAGGAACCAGCCCCTAAAAGAAGGCCTGTCTCACACACACAAACACTGGAAGCCTCAGGACCAGACTAATCCAAGAGCCACAACCAGGTAAAACATTCCCCTCTTTTCATTCAAGATGCATCACAAGAAAAACCAGCAACTGTTTTGGTATGCTTAAAATTTCCAATTCTTTTGCTGAAGAACTGTCAGAGCACAGGGTGCCCTACCTGTGTCCAGAATTCCCATGGAACCTCCAATAACTGACATCAAGATGGTCAATATCAGGGGTTGGTTACACCAGGGTATCACATAAAGACCAGCTGCTGTTCCAAGCATGGAGAAGGCTGCAAAGGTTAAAATACAAAACAAAACACTCTCATACTACAGCTTCCATTTAAATAACACAGAAGAACAAGAAATACAAATAAATTCATGGCTTTCTTAAAGTTACAGATAATCCTAATAAGGGATGCAATGTAAATACCTGAATCCACGGTGAGCAGCAGCAGCAGCTAGAAAGTTGAACGGATAATTTTTTAGTTGGGAAAAAAAAAAGGAATTTCATCAAACCTTGCATGACAAACTTCTCTGGCTAAAGCAAAGAGAGGAGTAGCTCCTGCTGGGACACTAAGAAGTCTTCTGCAAACTTCTGATTTAGAAAGTGACTTTGGTGTGAAACCAGTAAACCATGGGTTTGAGCAGTGTCAAGCCTTTCCTCTGAGAACTGCATAACATTTAATTTGGCTCCATTTCTGAAAGAACCCAAATAACTAAACTCTTAAAAATGCTATAAAGTAATTGCACCTCGTCCACCAAGTGATCTTCATATAAAGATGCTGACTTTTATTTCTATTTTGTTCTCACGTGAGGGATGTATTCCAAGGGATTTCTGGGGTTTTAGACAGAACTACAGCATTTCTCATAAATAAATTTTGCAGCAGTTCATTACCTGCATTCATTTCGCCATTATTGGCTACACTTACAACATGCCATTTCAGAAAATATTTTTAGCAGATAGAAATTGCTTTTATTACCATTTGGGAGGAAGTTCAGTAGTTCAATTCTATGCTTATAATTGCCTCCATAATAAAACAACCTGCAATTAATATCTTGAACAGAAAATATTAGGTTATTAGAAAGCTTGTACCAGTTCAACTGTCTCTATTCTTTTTAAAATCAATCCATGATCACAGATGCAGCAGATACTTGAAACATCAATGGGGCCCGATGTATTTAAGAATTTAGGTTGATTCCAAAAAAAAACCAGCAACAATGTCCAGAACCCTAGAGACCTAGCAAGATACTTGGAATACATGCCTCAAAACATTTTTGAAGGTGGTGTGCATGCTGAGCTGCATGAAGCAAACACCAGAGATAGGCAATACTAAGTGCAGCTCCTCAGGTGCCACATTCAAACCTGAAAGTAACTTCTCAGCAAGGGCTCTGTTGTCCACTTCAGCTCTATGCCTGATAATCACCGCTTAAAAATTTCCGTGACAAACACAGATGATGTTTTCGATTTTTCCTCTATATAGAGTTTTTCTCTGTAGCAGAGTTCCAGCAGTTGAAAGATGGGAGGCAAAACTACACAAGCCAAAATCTCTTACAGGCAGCCCTCAGATGATAGAAATGAGAACAGGTTCAATAGTTCAGATTGTGGTCCTGCCATAAGCACTACCAAACTGGAAAGGATTAGGAGATCCATCATTTCCCAAGCATTGTTAACAGACAGCTATCCTCAGGGAAAGAAGGAAATACTAAACTATTTCAAGTTAACCTAGGTTTCTACAGGTGTCTGCACTGATTCCATTACAGGAGGCAAAGTCTGACTTGGTCAGGTGCACAAGGGGGAGGTTAAAGGAAACCCACCCCACAACTGCAAACACTAGCAATGGAAAAGGGATCTTATCTGAACTGACCATGTGATTACAGCATGCTCCTTATGGGAAGCACAGTTCCCTGAAGGGGAGAAGGAGAAGAGTGAGCCCTGGTACACATTTTAATCCCTAATTTTGAGCACAAAGGCACTTGAAAAAAAAAAAGACAGGGCTTCCATTATTTTTGGTGTGGGAATGAGAGAACTCTAAAAGGAGCCCCTCCTTTCTGGATGCTGAGTGTGGCTCCTGGATCCCTGCTGGCTGAGCAGCCTCAGGGATCTGCCTGCACAAAACCGGTCCTGTGCTCCTACAGCAGCAAGTTCCCACACGTCCAGAGAACCGGACTCAGCTGTGGTACCCACAGTTTAAATGTTTCCACCATTATAAACAGTAATTAATGTTTCCCACTGTAAATCAGTTAAAACTTGGCTACAGCCCTCCATCAAAGGCCACAGGCCTTCGTCCATTGCACGAAGCCGATCGTGACTGATGAGTGTTGAGGAAAGAGGAAGCTCCCCCATAGAACTTGCGGGAGGTTTCAGCCGCACACACGGCGGCCCGGACACCGCTTCCTGTCCCACGTTGTACGGTGGCGCTACAGGAGCCTGGTATGCTCCAAGAGCACCCACCCTGTGCACATTGCTTGATGCAAACCAAAAAAAGCCCAGCTGTTCTTTTCAGAGCGAGCCACTGGTCGATCCCTGCACATTTTGTCCGTTCGATCCCAGTTGCGCTCGGCCGTGCCCGGCGGGCCCGGGCTCTGGCAGCGCTGCAGGCAGGGCCACATGGCGACAGCCGCGGGCATCTGGGGACAGCCCCACGTCCCACGGACCCTGCCGCTCCCGGGGCTGCAGCAGAAGCTGCCCCGGACGGTGTCCGGGAGGGCGAGGCCGCACTCACCGAGCAGCAGAGTGGCGTTCATGCAGTCGAAGAGCACCCCGCCGACCACCGACCCGCCCAGGGAGCCCAAGGACCGGCCCACGAAGATGTAGTAGATGTCGCTGACGTTCTTGCCGACATTGGCGGCCAGGGTGGGGAAGGTGGGACCCAGCACGGCGATGCTCATCCCCTGCAGGGGAGAGTGCGGGGTCACCTCGGGAGGGTCCGCAGCGCCCCCGCAGCGCCGGGGCCGCCCTCGCTCACTCATTCACTCACCAGCCCCAGGAAGGAGGCGCAGAGCGTCCCCGAGATGCACCAGCGCAGCGCGGCCCCGTCCGGGCAGCGCCCGCAGCGCCATCCGCCCCCGGCCGCCCCCGCCGCCGCCTCCGGCTCGTTCTCGGTCTCCTCCGCCTCGATGAAGGGGACGCGCAGCTCCCGGTCGGCCTCGGCCATGGCTCCGGCCGCCGGCTCCGAGGGCCGCTCCGGGCCCGAGGAGAGCGGCCCCGGCGGCTCCGCCCCGCGCACGGCGCCGGGAGGAGCGGGAGGAGGAGCGGGAGCAGCGGCGGGATCGGAGCCGGGGGGCGGCAGCGCCGCGTCCTCCTCCGCCGGGGGCTCCTCCGGGGAGCAGGGCTCGGCGCTGGGGAGCGACATTGCCGGGGCAGCTGACACTCCACACCGCTGGAAGTTTGTGCCACGGTGCCCGAGGAAGTGCCCTTATAAACCAGCATTTATTTTTAATCTGTGTTATCACTCAAACTGCACTCGACCTTTCAATCAACCGATCATAAACGGTCTTTGCCTTCCACAAGGATCGTGTTATGGCACGGCGATAAAGCTTCTCAAGAGAGAGAGAAAGCTGCAGAGTCTGCTAAGCACATAAGCTATTAACACATGCCTGGTATTTAAAGTTTTCAGCATTAAAACTACATTAATTCCTACCGCTCATGTGGAGCAGCTCACCGACTGTGCAACAGGTCTCAGTGCGTGCTCCCTGTCGGGCACGGAGCTGCTGCTCCCTCCAAGAAAGGCTCCGAGTTTCACCGCACTTGGTAAATTTAAGTGTCACAAGCAAACAAACAACTCGAGAGAGAATTCCAAACCGCACTGCTTTGTTTTGCGAGGTGCCCCTAACAAGTAGATTCAGGGATATAGCAGTGCATGGACAGACCCATTCCCGTTTTTCCCGGCACTGGCAAGCATGTTGCAAGTGTTCGGGATAGCCTGGGTGCATTGAGCCATTTAAAAAAAAAAAAAAAAAAAAGAGTGGCTGCTTGCTACAAGTAACACTGCCAGATAATATCTAAACCTGATCGATCCCACGTTCTACCTTCGGAGGAGTGCAGAGTCTGCAGAAAACTGCTGAGCTTCTGTTCATACATAGACAGACTGCTCTGCTCAGCGGTAGAGACAATTCCAGATAAAATAATAATTTCAACTATAAAATAACAGTAGTCACACACAACTCAAACCACATTTCTAGATGTTGGTATTTTGCCTGGTTTGAAATGCCTCCCCCAGGCTTCTCCTCACTGTTGTTTTACACACCTACAAAGAGGCCTTGTACATTGAGAATGTACAAATGGCAACAGCACCCAGGCACTTAAAAAGGTTTTGGGCATCTTTTTCAATTCCTAATTTGAACTGCAAGTAGCCTAGGGAATAACCCCAGGTGAAAAGGGAATATTTCACCCATATCATCAGATGTATTTATTAAAGAAAATAAATATTTGGCTCTACTACAAAGGAAAGGTGAATGAATTTTTGGGACTTACTGAAGCTGTCAATGAGGAAACGTTTCATGAACTGTAAGTCAAGGGAAGGTAAGGACAGTCAAGGTAAGTCAAAGGGAAATTGGTAGCAGGCCAGTAAAGGATTAAAGGTCCCACTGGCAGTCCATGAAGCAAAAATCAGAATTATTTTGAAACACCACTCAAGCTTACTGTACCAGTTTCCCTCCCTCCTTCAATTTTCCTTCTGCCTTTTGTAAATGCAACTGCTTCTGCAAGTTTCCTATTAAGACCCAGAATGGAAAATACAGAAGATAAACTTTTCAGAAACAAGCAGCTCAGTAGCTAGCTTAGGTTTTTAAATCATTAGTCTCATAATGGGTTGTCAGTGCAATCAGAATAAAACGGGTTGCACCATATATTAATGTAGAAACAAATGTAATGGGGACATTTCAGTCAGACCACAGTGGCAATAAAAGCTGTAAAGACTTTTTGTATAAAAGTCTTCACACTAGAGTCAACAATTATCAGAATACAACAAAATTACATTTCAAAATGGCGAGTTTTACACAAGAATAAGACTAAAAATGATGCATGCAGTAACAAACGGGGCAATTACGAACTACCATCTTTATTCTGAATAATTTGAGGCTGATCACAGTTACTTTAGCACCACAAAAAACATTAGACATTCATTTCTTACCCTTCTAACAAAGCAGAACTTGAAAGACTGGAGTTAAGGCTAGCAAAACATATATACCCTTTAATATCAAAAACAACATACAAAATATGATGTCTATAAAGATACTTAAACATGTCAGTGTTGTCAATATTAGCAAACATTTTAGTATAAAATCACTCCAATCTTAGCATATGCACTTCCAAAACATCACAGCTGTTGACACAAGTTATGTATAGACTAGAAGGCATTGTGCACATATGCCAAATCTTACATGACTGGAAACTCACTGGCTGGCTGGAACTCCACTGGTGCTGTGCTTGTCAACAGGGAGGCAAAGAAAGGCATCTCTTCCTCCTCAGCCATCTCTCACAGTTCAGAACTGCTCCTCCTCTAGTGAGATGCAGACTGTTCCTGCATGCCCTGCTCAAAACACATTGTATTCATGGATACACACACACTCCCCTAATAGCAGGGGGTCCTTTCTGGCTTGTGTAACACTTCCAGCTCTCCAGAGGGGAATGTGGGCCCCAGCCCAGCACTGCCTCTGCTGCCTGCCCCGAGGGCACAGCAGAGCCCCTGTGCAAGCAGCGGGGCTGGGAATGCCCCGAGCCAGCACAGGGAGAGCCCGGCCGTGTATGCTGACCCGAATGGATGACCCGAAGGATTGTGGCACTGATCCCCAACCTGACACACACCCTTTGGGGCTGCAAGGAAGCCCCTCCTGTCCCTCTGGCATGTACCACCCGAGGCAAGGACCTGATCTGCTTTGCAATGGCCATGTCCCTTTTTGACACCACGAGCCTGTGATCAAAGCACTCATCTGGTACCTGTGAGAGCTGCTGCCTCCCGCAGGGGTGATGCAACCTCCCACCCCTCCAAAAGCTGCCTGCTCAAAGGCTTCATCCAGGGAAGGCTGGGAAATACCACCCATTCCCAGTGTGGTGGGCATCAGCCTGACGATCCAGTATCCCTGCAGGGAGGGGGGAATTAAGTGCCCACACACAGTGCATCAAGGGCCAAAGGAGAACAGTGTCACTTGTCTGCCTCATCTGATGCCAAATACACCCTGAAGAAAGGCCACGGAACAGCTACAGCATCTTTGACTCATGGGGGCAATTTTCAGGGACAATAAAGTCTCACTGGAAATAAAATTATAAAAATAATTTAAAGGCTAATGCTGAACAGATGAAGACCTGAATGCAAGAAATTCTAACTACATTATCATTTGAAGTCTGGGTCTGAGATTTGTACAGGTGTCCAAATGTAGCCAGGACAAATCCATCAATACTTCACTAGTTACACATTGGATCCTGTTGCATAGCTGAGATGTAATTAAAAACCCAAAGGGTTTCCATTATTTCAGACTATTTGCTGAACAGTTTTCTTTAGATTAAAAGGATCTCATACCTACTGAAAAAGTATGAAACCGATAAAACCTTGCTCAAAATTAGTATTGGGTTCAAGATCTGGTGTATTATATGACAGCATCACATAGGACTGGAAATTTCACAGTGCCATTTCAAATGAACCCGTTTCTACGCATTTTCTTCTGAAGATTTACCCTGATAACATTCAATGAAAAGATGATTACTTTGTTTATAGGATACAAGAACAATGTTTATAGAAAGTACTCTATGAACTGTTCTCAAGAGAGGGATTGATCAGAGTGATTTAAGTGTCTTCTTGAACTAAGCTGCTATTTTAATTTTAGAATCTAACCCTAACCAGATTAAGGCTTGCATTATTTGGGTCATCAAAGTAAGATTTCAGCAGGTTCCCCATGAATAGGTTTTCACACCCAAAAATAAATTGTTACAAAATCTTATTTGCATTTATTCAGTTCAAATAAAATTGAATATTCAGTCCTTTTCTCCACTTCTACAACATTAAATATTTTTTAAAATAAATTTACAAAATAGTTGCTATTTGTGTAGGGTTTTTCGTGTTTTAGTTTGTTGGGGATTTATTTGTTGGGTTTTCTTAAAACAGGGCCATCTAACCTCATTTTTAAAACCTCAGGGCATACAGAATTTAGTATCTCTCTCAATAAGTTTCTCAGTGGTTGGTCAGCCTCAGCACAAACAACCTGAACTTGTTTTTCATCTTACCTAGCTTTAGGACATAAATACCTTATGTCTTTGTCCAGAAAAGAGCATGTGCTACTGGACATTTCCCCCACAGATATAAACTAACAGAAAACTTGCTAATAGAGCTCTTAAACAGCAATTTACTTTACCTTCTCTGAAGAGCCTTTCCCATTTTAGCATTGTTGCAAAACAGGCACTGCATCAGAAATGGGTTTGTTATTCCAACATCACCACACCAGCAGAGCCTCGTTCCCCCCAAACTCTGCTTCCCGTCATCCAACACCCCACTCACCAGGTGGTTCTACCACAGGAATCACTCCTGAACAATCAGTCATTGCACCCTTCTCACAGAGGTCATGATTTCTGCAAGTTTTTTGGATTGTTGGTTTGGGGATTTTTATAAATTTTATGTAAATATGAGAGGTTTTTTTTTTTTTTTTAAACAGCATGGCAATATTTGATCCATACTATTGATATACCATTTCCATGTAATTTATAAATCTTCACAACAATTATTTTATATACTCTCCCAGATAATTTAGAGATGCAGAGCAGCAAGTTGGAAAGATGCCGTAATTACACCAAGATACCTGGTCACAACCCTTTCAAATTGCACCAGTGATAAAAAAAGCAGCAGCTTTGTTTTTGGTATAAAACTCAGGGCTAAAAAACACATGAAATGCAAGATCCATGATGAACACTAATTTTTCATAACAGGACAACAGGAAACGAGAGTCTTATATCACACTTAGCCAACACCACCTTCTGTGTTGCCCAAATGGAAAATAATACTGAATATCACATTCTACAGGAACACTCCAGACAAGAGCAGCATTGGCTGTCAGCATCACTTTTGTAATGAAGGCAGTAATTTTAATTAACACTACTATGCATATTTCAATGACATTTTCAGAAGTACTTGCAATGTGCCAAAGCACAATTCCCAGTGAACCTGAAGGGACCTTGGTTTTCCAGACTGGTTTTCCCCCCCTCCCCACAACCACCTCCAAGTCCCTCCACATATGTCTCTCTAACATTTTAATATTCAATTCTTTTAGACCTCACTCATGCAAAGTAGGGTTTGAAATTCTGCAATATAAAAAATGCCTGAGCTTTGGTCTACAATAATTACAATGCTTTGCATGATTATATTTAAAGAACTTCTGTTGGTTGCTAGATGTAAACATTAAATGCAATAGTATTGCTGTTTTATATGGGTTTTCTGAGCAATTTACTACAACACTGGAATAAGAAGAATGAAAAAAAAAAAAGATACTAAAGGCTCTCATAAAGAAAAACTCAAACAGTATGCCTCCATGGTTTATGTGAAGAACAGTTACTAATTAAACAAAGCACTTGAATATGCATTTTGCCCAGATCACATTTAGTTTACTCTTTGCTATGACAGTTTTAAAAGAAGCAACAAAAATTATTGGTATCAAATGGACCTGAAATAAAAAATTAAGTATTCCAGTGATTGCTGAACCATATCTATAGATAAGCAGTATGCTTAGAAGTGTTTTATGATAAACTGAAAAGCAGTGTTTTCATCTCCAAGTATTATACTTTCAAACATTTTTCAGAAAAAGAGGTTACTTGCTTGACAAACAGTGCATGATACCTAAGGATACATAAGCAATGGGGCTATTAGTTTAGGGTGTTAAGAAAGAAATAGGACATGCAAAGGCATTTCTTTATATTTGAAAAAAATACGGAGCCGTATAATCTACAGGCAGTTGAGCACAGCTATAAAGACCTGTAATAAACCTGCATGTTCACATAGTGCAAAAATCTTGAATTGCTGAATGTTGTTTTAATAGCTCATGTATATTTCCACATTAAAAACAACTTGGTATTGCACTTAGAATGTATCCTTTAAAGCTGTCTTGGTTTTGCGAACAACAAAAAAAGAAATCCTAAGAAGTACAACAGAAAAATTTGAAATTTAGTCTAATTCACAATACTGCTCCAAAGAATTAGTCAGTACAGTTTCAAAACTATCCACTACTCTGAGGTTTGCCTGAAAAAAGATTTATAAACATACATCTTAAGGGTATTGCCTTCACCAAATAATAATAATAATAATAACAATAATAATAGTAACAATAAAAAAATCTATTATTCAGCAGCTTAACTTCTGAACGTGTTTGCACTTGGAGCTTGGTTTGGACACATTCAAAACCTGAGCCCATCAAAAATGCCATCCTTAATGTTCTTTGGGCTACTGTGAAAGGTGAATGCAAACACAAGTGAGTGTTTCAACAGTTGTATAATAATTTAGCTTTCTAATGAAACAATCATTTCAGCAAAAAGATGCATATTTGTGTTCATGATAGAGAATTACAGAAGACTGTAAACAGCATGATAAACTTCAATAAAACAGATCAGTCATAAGAGCTACTACATTATCCAGTATAAACACCCAGGGGCATGCCTGCAGAGGATGGATCATAGACATCATTGAAGAACCCTGGGTCAGTGAAGGAAAAACAGCTTTCACATTTCCAGAAATCAGTTCTGATGGATTAGAAAAATATTCTCTTCACACACAGAATCACTACGCACGTACACACTAAAGCTACAAAACTTCAAATACCTTGAAAATGTGGCTTGAAATCAAATTCAAAGACTTGTCAAAAAAGGTCAATGGTATAAAAGATTCTTGTAGCAGTTCTGCAATTTGAGCAATAGTTCAAGACTTCAGTATCTTCAGCCAACAAGTAGAAATCTGGTTTCTGTAGGAGGAGGTCAGGATGGTATAGGGAAAAGAAAAAAAAGCATCAAAAGCCAGAATCCAGTTCTTTGGCTGGCTTTTCTGTCGTGTCCGACACCAAAGTGCTTTCATTTTCCAGCATTTTCTCAGTAGTTTCTCCATCAACAGGTTTTGCTCTCGCTTTCAACTTCTGCCGCTCGTGGACCCAGGGGATGAAGCACAGGATCGCTCCCCCAATGAGGGGAGGGACTCCAGCCAGGTAAAACGCCACGTCGTAGGTGCCAAGCTTGTCCCGCAGCAAACCTGGGAATAGAAAGTCACCACTAATAAATAAAAGGGCCTCAGGAATCTACAGAAAACAGGCCATGGCTCTGGGTTCAGGAACCCAAGAGCTGGCACAGATTATAGCCACTAAAACTGACAACCTGATGGTCAAACAGAGGCATACATGGAGGTAGAAAGGTATTCCAGAGTTGACTTGGAGCAGTAATGAAGAGCTCAGTATGTCACTCCTCAACCAATTAAAAATTGCTTAATTATCATCCACTGAAAACATGCACCATCTTTCCTATGTGAAAGTTGCTCATTTGAGCTTCTCCAGCACCTGTATCTTGCCATGACTTAGAGAAATTCTCCCTCCTTTTGGAAACAGCTACCTTTGATCAATGTGTCCATTCTTCTAATTCTAGACATACTCCATATATTGCATTCCTTGCGGCCTTTTACTAAGGAGTGTGTTTCCCAATAATTCACTCTAATTGTTCTCTCCAAATTCCTCCCATTAGTCAAATTCTATTTAAGTATTCATAGCTGTGAAATTAGGAAGCACCAAATCTGTGCTGTTCTAGCATTAAAATTTTGTCCTTTATAATGCAGCATAGTTCAATTACATCTTATGAAGTATACCTTTCACTCACCAAACCTCAGGGTAAATTACCACTGAAAATCATCAGTGGTGAGGAATACCCTTCTAGCTATTTCTACCTCCCAAGAACTTCTAAGTTTTCATCTTCAAAACCTGTACTTTGTCAGTCTCCCAACAAAGGATGAATGAAGCCACTTAATATATTAATAATTATAATTATAATTTTATATTTATGTATATATATATTTCTACTTATGAGGAGCAATTAAAGTGACTGGAGCCTTTAGCCTCACAATGGTTTTAACATGAGCAAATTTTGGAATCCAGTTAATTTTCAGATTTTAATTTGGAGGCCCTCTGTAACACAAGCAACCAATAGGCTGTCAGTTGTACAAACTGGAAAATGTCAGGTCCTAAATCCAACTGGAAACCCATCAGTCTTTCTTTTGAGGAATGTTTTACACCTGCATACAATGAAGAAGACTGAGCAAATTTTGAAGAGTGCAGTAAGTTAACAACTCTCAAGCAGCAGGTAAATTTCCTTTACCTCCTCAAGCACACACAGAGACAACCTCTGATGTCAAAGCTCTGCACGTGATGCAGGAATGGGAAACATGGCCAAAGTGTTTCTCTAAAGTCATGCAAACACAGGAACACATTTACAGCTACAAACCCTGCCTACACTCACCTGCAATGGGTGGACCAACTGTCATAGGCACTGACATGAGTCCAAGCAGGAACCCGATGGCCTGGGAGACGTCCTGAGCCCCAACGAGCTCGAAGGCAATAGGAGCCATAATGCAAATGAAGCACCCATCAAACAGGCCCATGAAGAGACAGACAGCAACGAGAGCTCCAAAGACATTGCACAGTGGAATCATCATAGACATCAGCCCAATAAAAAAGAATGAGGCCACCTAAATATGGACAAGGAAAAAAAAAAAATGCATTGCATCAAATTTGCAAATCCTAAGGGACCAGATGAACCTCCTTGCATTTGCAGTGAATTAGACTGCCTGCCTGTATTTACTTTAACATAATCAGTCTCCATGGATTACCACCGTCAGAAGTTACATATTAAGATAAAACAAACATATCACTCATGACAGGCAAAGAAATTCCACCACCCATTTCACAAGCTTTGAAAATGCAATTGTAATCCACTATCCTACAATGATTGCGTAAGGACATTTCTTATGCACTAATAGTTTTTGAGAAATAAGTCACAGAAATATTAAAAGCTTAAGACAGCTGGAATACTGCAATTAGACTCCTTGCTGTTGTAAGTAAAAATAGTCATATTATGAGTGGTTATTTCAGGGTACTTATATTCAACAGAAGTGAAAACATTTAATTTTTCCATCACAAAAAAGTATCCTGATGTACTGCTGTAGTCATGCATACTTAAAAAGATTTTCTAATATAATCTTAGATTATTTATTTGTTTCAGATTAAAGGAATAAAACTCTTTCAGCAAAATGAAACAGAATTAAAAAGAAAATAAAAGCAGTAACAGTTTTGCCTGTGCACCATCCATATGTAAGCACTGGAAATCAATGTTCCACCTAACTGCAATAAAAGACCAAAGAATCTAAATTTAAATTTATCCATGACAACAAATACTCCAGCAGAACAGTAACACTTTCCTAAGAATTTTTTATTTCCATAATGCAGTGCAGACAACCCCCACTAGATGCCTCCCTTGCTATTCATTTTAAATGAAGAACACCTTGAAATTGCCAATATGGAAGTAAATTAAAGCTTTTTACAAAATCCCACACCAACACTGCTAGTATTTTAAAAAAAAATCATTTATAAGTGTGGAGGGAAAGAAGTGTATGTCCACTTTCCTCCCCAAGCTTCAGCATTTCTGGAAGCCTAGACTCTTTCTACAAAATCTCCTCAACTATGCACCACTTGTATTGCCATGGCCATTCCCCTGTGCACTTGCACAGAACATAGCTGACACCAAATTAGTGCCTGTCAAAGATCAAGAGATCCAAAATCCTTACTAGAGAAACATGGCTTAATTTTTTTCCCCTATATTGGGAAAGCCATTATGAAATCATAATCTGGGATAAAACGGAGAAAGCAGAATCTAGAGAATCCCCAAAGGTTCTCAGTCACATGCTAATGAACAGTAATTTCTTTCATTCCCAGCTGAAAACAGCCAGCAGGAAATAGATATTTTCTCAGAGAAAATGAAAAAACAAAAATCAGAGATTCATAAACTTTGCACCAAAGGCTCCTAGGATAAAAAGCCATACACTGAGTTTCCTAGAGTTTTGAAACTTCTCAAATTTGAATCGCCAATCAGTTAATTCTGCTTACTTACCAACAGTACCCAAAATCAAATCCTTTGCAATCCACAGTTCAGAAGTAATATAGAAACAATAAACACATACCTGTAGATAGATTTTTTTTGCACCAGGAATATAATCTGCAACTCTGCCAAAGATCAATCTGCCAACTCCTGAAGTAATGCCCAGACATAGCAGAAGCACTTCTTCTGGCACGCTGTCACCAAATCTCTCTTTTACATGATTCATCTGTTTAAAAAGAAAATAAATTTGCTTTAGAATTAAAAAGATAGACCTTGGCAAACCTGAGTCAAGTAGAATTAACCTGTCAGTCACAAATTCAGCTACAGTCATCTGATTTACTCTGCTTCTACAGATTTTAAAATGCAGTATTTTGTGCAACACAATAAAAACAATCTGAAATGTGTTGCTGCTTTATCCACAACCAATGAATTGAATCAGGAAAACAGGAAGGCTCAGCCTAATTAAGGATTAAAAAAAAAAAAAAAAACCACCAAGATAGCTGAGAAGTGCTCTCTCCAACCACTCAAAATTTACTAATGATAGATTCAAAGTAACACAGAAGCCACACGGGCTACCGAGCTTGCAACATAGCTCAGGGCAAGGAGCAAGAAGCAGAGAGCTGGAGACAAGACAGCGCAAGCAGGAGAGGCCCTTCAGGAGGTCTCATCCCAACATCCAAGATGTCCAGGGGCAAGGAGGAAGCGGGGCAGAAGCCAGCTGCAGTGCCAAACACAACAGCGAGCACTCCCACCAGAGGGAGCAGCTTCAGCAGCAACGAGCAGGGCAGACTGGAAGAATGATTTATCAGCCACTGCAGCCCGAAGAACTAAAGCAACGGACCATGGATTAACTACCAGTGCCAGTAATGCCAACTTTTCAAATCATAGTTAAAAAAAAAAAAAATTTTATATATATATATATATGTATATATAAACACCAGACTGGCTTGATGGATTTGCATTTTTTTATATTCTCTCTACTCCCACAGTGTTTTTTAACTGTGGTTTTTGGTTTTGTTTTTATTTTTATTTTTAATCATTCCCAAAGACCAGAAAATTATCCACAAGAGATTTTTTCACTACCACATTTTGGAACGTGCGTGGCTATGCCAAAATGGGCACTAGAAGATGTAGAAATCATTTGCACAATCCTGCAATCTCCATGTTCATCCAGTTTTGAACAAGAAAAGTAAACAAGTGAAAACAAGTGAAAGTTCAGAGATGTAAAAGACCAAACAGAAGAAACTGATTTTCAGTAAAGATGTAGCAAGAACATTTGAGGGACAAGGTAACCACAGGCTGATATCACTTCAAACCAGAGAACCCCTAATTTCTCATCTATAAAATGAAAATTCTCCGTTCTAGCAAGTACTTCTAGAGCAAAATAGTGTGAAGTCTTTCCTGGCCAGAATGTTACTATACAAGCAGGGCTGTTTTTTCCAACAAGAAAATAGGACTTGCTGAGTAAGAGTAATTTTCTTAAATATAAAATCTGTTGGAGTTTTTTTACATGTCACAGAAAGCCTATTAAATCTAATATTATTTTGTCCAATATAACTGATTTTGTAAGAAAGAAAAAACCAAGATTTATTCTAGTTTTAAAGAAAAACTTCTAACTTAAATTGAAGACATGTTGCTTGCTCTTTCTGTTTTTTCCTTTGCTTTGTGAGATACATATGAGAACAGAATCTGATTAAATTTTTCATCTGAAATGACATTTAAACACAAAAGATAAGCTGTTCTACTTACTCCCTTTCTGCCAAAGGTGAGAAAAGGAAAAGCTGACAGTTTTCCCACCTCTACCTTTGTGTGCTTGTCAACACCTGCTGGCCCAGCTGGCAAGAGAAGCCAAGGTGTTCTTTGCAATTTTTGTCACCTGTTCCACATCCAGGTTTCTGCAGCCTCTAGATTGTTTAATTAGCAGGCCTGATCCATCCACTCCCTGGAGGCTTTTCAAGAGGCAAAGCAAAGCTCTGTATCTAGATAACTATTAACCCTGCACCTGCAACTAAGTAACTGGATTTCTCAAAGCAGCACAGGGGGTGAAATGCTGCCGCTCTTCCACCAAGGAGGGAAAACAACCACTACTCATCCCAAATTTAAAATATCTAAATTAGTTTCTGGTTTCTTTTATTTGGTAACTGAGTGGTTTTTTTTGTTTTGTTGTTGTCTTTGTTGGGTTGTTTTGTTTTTGTTTTTTTTTTCTTCCACTACTCTTAAGCACACGATAATCTTGAAGAAAGCTTCCAAGTAGATATATAGAATATAGATATATGGAATTTTTTTCCTCAGGAAGGCAGTGGCATAGGCTGTCCAGAGAGCTTGTTCAGACTCCTTCCTTGGAGGTTTTTCAGGACTAAGTGCACAAAGCCCTGAGCCACCTGGCCTGATCTCTCAGAGCTGATGCTCAGATGCTAAACAGCTTATTCAATCTTTAGTGGCATCGTCACAAAATAAGCAGCAGCAGTATTAACTGTCTGAAAATACAGTGATTCAGGGCTAATTCAGTACTGTAAGTGTAACTAGGTTAAATATATTCATGAAGTAGCTCAAGCAAGATTCAGATTTCCACAGATTTTTAGCTGTTAGAACTACTCAAAAATCTCACGATGAGCAATTAATTGTGAATATTCTCAAGGCATCAATGCTCTCCTCACTGCAGAACTATACAGGTTGTGATTATACAACTCTCCAGGCATTGTCTACAGCAGCCAAATGGGGACCCAGCCACACAAAGCCAAAGCATTTCTATGTGTGTTGTGCCTGTTCTCAGTAATGTAGCTGCTTCTTCACTCAGGACTGTGTGCATGCTGAATTACACGTCTGATTTTTCCAAATGTAGAAAAGACCTGGTTAGCTCAGGCAAAACTACAGTGCAGAGAAGCATGGTTTCTTCATTATTCAAAAATATAATTTATCCTTGTACAATCCAGTTTTCCAAATAAAGATATATAGGCAGTGAAGACCAGAACTGAATGCATCCCTGGCATCAGCTTTATACCTTTATATTCTCCTTTATACCTGTGCTCTATGCTATCAGGGTGACACACACAGATCTTCCCCAAATTCTCATTACTTTACAATGAGATTAGAAGACAAAGCAGCCACTTGGTAGTGGCTGCAATGCTTTCTGATACACAGTTCTGGTTGACCTCTCTCCAACCAGCCAAGACCCAGGTTTTTCTAAGCCCTCCCCTTCACTGCACATGCATTTCAGCTAAACTCACACAGTGAATCAAAGACATGCATCTCAGCAAAGCTGTAGCTCCTTTTTTTCCTGAACACCAAGAGCTTGAATCTGAAAGAAGTGATTATGAACTAGTAAGAAATAATTCTGTCAACCACTTTCTTCCCATGTATATTCCATTTTGGGGATTCTCAATCAAGCAAAGCTTTTGTAAGCTAAGTGCAAGAGTCTCCCTGACCAAAACAGATGCCCAATAGCAGCACAAAACCTAGGAAACTCTGAGCACGTTAAAACCACCTTTTTCTTCAATTACTGGTGCAAATCCTGCTGTCTGACACTTTCACTGTAAACAAGCACAAGGATAAAAGGAAATGTTTAGGGAGTACTGCTGGTACAATTTGGATACTAGAAATATTATTAACTGCTCCAAATCAAGTTTTCTTGATTTAGAAGTGCTGAGGGGGTGTAGAAGCCTAGAAGATAAGGGGGCCCGTGTGCATGTCTCAAACACTGATAGCCAGATAGCTGTGGAGCCAACCAAGGATTGCTGGCAATAACATACTGTGGAAAAGAACAACGTGTGGCTGGAGAAGGGGGCCATACAAAGGTAGGGCAGCACTTTTCCAGGACAAACGTCCTTGTTCTGGCTCCTGGAGATAAGCGTAACGGAATGGTGCAAGCACAGGAATGAGGTCGAGAAGCCAGTATGGACTGTAGGGTGGAATCAGCACCAAAAGCCCTTAAACCCTGTAGCCCATTTCCAGGAAGGGCTACAACAACAGACTGTGCATAACTTTCTCACTTTCTATGCAATTTAGTTATCTCCAGGCCAGAGAGAAGCAGCCACATGGGGTCCAGGTGGCACCCTGGCCATCCCATCAGCTGGATCAACACTGTAGCCAGGACTGGAGATCTCTTTCTTTGCATTGAGCTGTCCTGGATAATTGGATGTTTCAGAAAGTGCTAAAAAGCAGAGCATAAATTAACTCTGGAAGGTCACTGTTTATTCTATGGACTCACATATGGACATACAACATATGGACTCACCACAAAAATGGGGGGTAAGGACGGTAAGAAACAGAAAAAGAAACTTGGTTGCCAGCAAGCTTTATATGATACAGGGCACCAGGAAGATCATTCAAGGCAAATACATTTCTAGTCCAGACTCCACCAAAGAAACTTTCACTGGTAAGCAAAAAAAACAGCAAAATGAGCCAGCAACTCCTGAACTTCTAGAAAAGATGAGCTTCATGTTAAGAGACAGAAATAGCATTACTAATACCTAACCTGGATCAATTTTTTAAGGGATTGCCAATATTCTGAGATAATTTCTATGAAATATTACTTTAGCTAAGTATCTTCACATGACAAATATGCATATGTATATCTTTGAGAAACTCCTGCTGACACACTTGCCCCAGCAGTGGTAATACCTCTTTTTATCTCTTGTCAATTTAAATTATCTGTAGAACAAGGAAAAAAATTAAATAAACAAGGTGATTCATTGCATGCCAACAGTGAACTTTTCTCTTATTCCACTGAGTAAAGCAGATTAAACACAATAATTCATACATCATGAAGATTTAGAACAAGCATAATCTGAATTTCTGAAGTAAAACTGAACACAACAGTTAACAGGTTAACTGTTAAGCCTATTTAACATAAAAACCCTAAGCATTAAAAATTCAAAAATACTCAAGGCTTACAAATACACAGTTAAAATAATTTTGAGGGTTTTTTTTTTTTTCAAAAAACAGCTAGTGCTGAAGCCATATGACTTAAATAGTAATAATATTTTTTTTTTAAATCTCAGAGCTGTTAGTGTAACCCTAAAGAGCACGTGAAGGAAACCAGTGGCTTGGTGTGGGTTGGGCAGCAGCAGCAAGGCAGATAAGGCACACACACATCTTTGGAAGCTCACAGTGACTGAGCACAAGGATACAGAATAAAGTCAGGGATCCACAAAAAATGAAGTGTTATGTACACAAGGGATGAGAGTTAAATTATTATATAAAACCCTTTAAAAACATTATTTTAAA